AAAGCGCCCGCCGGTCAGCTGGGGGAAAATGGGGCCTATGGGGAAAAATCGCAAAGCGATTTTTCCCCATAGGGAACATCGCAATGCAATCGCTTTTGCGATCGCAAAGTCCGCATCACTATGTGGATTCGTCATTAAACGGGGCACCCGTTAAGCGAGGCACCACTGTATATGAATATTCTTCACTTTAAAAAGCCTATAAAACTGGACCTGAACTGTCTAGAGACACCAGCTGTTCAGGGAGGCTTCCTCAGACATTTTCCTACAAGTTTAGAAAGTTTGTTGAACATTGAGCAACAGATGCCTGAGTTATATTGTCACAAGGAGCACACCCCCAGCAAAGCTCCCTCTGGGTACAGTGGGGTCTCTACTTAAGAACGTCCCTACTTAAGAACAATCCAACTTAAGAACAGCTCCATTTGCTAAATTTTGCTTCTACTTGAGAACAGAAATCCAAGATAAGAACAGGAAAAAAAACCCTTTCCTGCTCTTTTTTTAACCTTAGGTCATCTTAGGTTAAAAAAAATTCTCCCCCTAATGGTAGAGGACGGATTAACCAGCTTTGCATTAGTTCCTATGGGAACTAATGCTTCAATGTACGAACGCACCTCTACATAACAAAAAAACAGCCAGAACGGATTAATTGGTTTTCAGTCCATTCCTATGGGAAATTTTGCTTCAACTTAAGAACGTTTCAACTTAAGAACACCATTCCAAAACGGATTAAGTTCTTAAGTAGAGGTTCCACTGTAGTTTCTATGGACGGAAAAGAGCAGATACGGATTAAATGGTTTTCAATGCATTCCTATGGGAAATGCAGATTCAACATAAGAACTTTTCAACTTGAGAACCACCTTCCAATACGGATTAAGTTCTTAAGTAGAGACCCCACTGTACTTAGAGAATCCAGAATCACACCAAAGCTTCCTAGGTCTTTCCCCAACAAGCCTGCCAAGTTTGGTAAAGATTGGATATCAGACCTCCAAGTTATTCACCCACAAATCGGGATATGTGGCAAATTGGCAGGATAGTTTACCTACCACGTGGCACAGAACAGCCCATGGCACTGAGGGGGTTATATTCTGCCCCAGCAGAATGTGAGCTCCTTGGCACTGTGGTACATTGGTTTGTCTGTGACATGCTCATAGAGGCATGAGGCATTAGCACTTAGCAGCAAAGTACGGTGTTGCCCCATCGGGCACTGAGGCACATAGCAGCAGCAAAGTAGAGTGTATTGCTCCATCAGGCACTGAGGTAGTTGGCAGCAACACAGTATGGTGTGCTGCCCCATCAAGCATGGAGGCACATAGCAGCAAAGTAGTGTGTGTTGCTCCATTGGGCACTGAGGCACATAGCAGCAGCAAAGTAGCATGCGTTGCCCATTGGGCACTTAGGTAGTTGGCAGTAGCAAAGTAGCATGTGTTGCCCCATTGGAAACTGAGGCACATAGCAGTAGCAAAGTAGTGTGTGTTGCCCCATTGGTCAAGGAGGTAGTTAGCAGCAGCAAAGTATCGTGTGTTGCCCCATCAGGCACTGAGGCATATAGCAGCAGCAAAGTAGCGTGATTTTCCCCATCAGGCACTGAGGCATATAGCAGCAGCAAAGTAGCGTGATTTTCCCCATCAGGCACTGAGGCATATAGCAGCAGCAAAGTAGCGTGATTTTCCCCATCAGGCACTGAGGCAT